CTTCCAGTGTGCCTTGAACATTTACAAGATGCCTAACTCTAATCTCTTCCAAAGAGGAAAGAAAAAATCAGCCTAACCCTTGCTCCACTGTACCAGAATGCTGCAGTTAGTATCTTCACTGTATTTTAGATCGTGCCAGCCAGCTTTCTCATTTAAGAATCCACTGCTTAATAGACAAGGATCTGTACAACTGAGTGAAAAAGAGCAGGAAGGAGGTAAAATAAGAGGATTGATCACTTGAGATGAAAGGTTGCCTTCAGAAACTTCTCAGAAGCTAATTCCATTCTAGAGACCCTGCAAAAGATGTCTGTGCTCATACTGGACTGAAAGCCTGCTTTCTCAGTTGGTAGCAGAATTACCATTCTCTGTTTATTTATTTCCATTCTCTGTTAGTTTCTTTCCCACCTAAAATATCTGAAGGATTGGAACCACCACTGAAAGGTAATAAAGCCGCTGCAGTGACAAGGGATCTGTTTCTACTACTGTTTTAGGACTTTCATGATGATGAAAGACATCTCAACTCCCACTCTGCCTTGAAGAGTATGGAGATGTGTTAAAAACCCCGTTTGTTCAGACAATTCCTTGGCCTGTCAGTATTCACATTTCACTGATGCTTCAGCAGCTGAGTCCTTTAGATACATTGACCTGGAAGTTTACATAAGAAAAAGGAACAAGTGAAAACACTACATCATTTTCAACATTTCATTTTCAACATGGCAGATGTAATATCATTACCTGCCTTTTGTTACAGGACCATATTTGTTTAGATCCAGGCAGATGTGGCCAATGAGAAGGAACACTCTAGGACAAGACAGATCTCTGGAAGCCACTAGATAAATCATAGTGAGTGTTGGAAATGGAGTGGAGAAACTTGCACCTTTCCAAGAACTTGTGCAAGAGCGGTGGTCAGAGACAAGGCTGAAAGTCAAGCAGCTACAAAGGTCATGTGCAAAACAAGCTCTGGGATGAAAGGCAAGCCAGCAGTGAAGTCAGGCAGACAGAGGGAGACACCAGTGCTGATGAAATAGAAAAGAGAAGCGAAATATCAGTAATACCCAAATGACATATGGTCATTGACACAGTCACTGATGGGAGAAAATAGCATTTGGCTCATGGTCAACTTTTGTTTCTCTTCAATCAGATCTGGGTTTTTAGGTCTTACTCACCATAGATAGTAGTTGTAGCTGGGCTGCCAGTTGTCTAGGCAGATATATTAATATGCAGTTAATTAAAAATACCAATATGCAGGAATAGGACATCCTGACACAACTTTGAAATGGTAGTTGGGATCTGACAAGCAAATTTTTGTAATTAAAGTTGACATTTTTCTACAGACATTGAAAGTGCAGCTGTGAGGATGGTAGCAATGAAGACATATACTCAAGATTCATACTGAAAAGTGAATCTCTGTCTAAAACATGAACACTGTGGACAAATTTCGGGGATAGAAACACTGAAGGAATCTTCTCTGCCATATAAACCAGCCCAAAATGGATTAGGAAGAGTCTGTGGCGACTTGTCTGTGGTAAGCATCCTGTGGCTTCCCTCTGAATTTCCCCTGAAATTACCAGCTGGAAGTGAGGCAATTCCACAAGGATGCCACAGCAACTGACCCCACACAAGTGTTTCCTCTGCTAAGGTGGAAAAGCTTACCTTTCATTGTAAGAATAACTTCTGGCATTCCTATGTTTATTTTACCAATATTTAGCCAAAAAATAGTCACCTATGTGTCCCTTAGAGTTATATCTGCACTACGGTCATCAGCCACTATGTATGCTGGAACGTACGGGCTGTAACACTACTTGCATTGTACCCTTTTTGTTGTTTTCTTAAAAAACTACAAAAATATACTTATTTCCACAAAATGCATTGAAAAATGTGTGGTTCAGGAATAATAATAAAAAATTCCGGGTTTAGCATCTTATAAAAAAGTATTAATATCAAATGCCAACTTGAGGGAAACATTTATATTTAGTTTTTAGGATTAATGTGCAACTCCTGGATTTATGAGCTTGATCTGAGTTTTGGGGTTTTAAGCCATAGCTTAAATTGGCCATACTCTGCAGAATTTCTATGAATGCATCACATATTTTGCTCTTTCTCTTAATAGATTTTTCAGGTTTTCCAAAGAAATAAAGTGTAGTCATCTGTAATCCTCACAGTCCATGAGTTCAGTAGCTTCCAAAGTACAGATACATAATAACACATGAATATTCACAGCTACTGTCAAAGCCATGGTACATCTCCGTGACATTAATACCAAACAGAAGGAACTTCCCACTGGAAAGCTGGTGCAAGTAGGCTTAGGCAGACTGTTCATCTATCCAATCATTTGCTGTCATACAAAACTGGCACAATGACTTGTTAACAGGCATAATGTCACTGCAACATATCACTACAACCGTAACTACAAAAGCACATATGTACACCAGATTGTAGGAAATGCAGACATGTTAGGAACAAAATTCTTGGCCATTTACCCTAAGCTTGCATGTTTAAGTATCAAACAGTAATTATAAATACTTCATAAACTCTCTTACCTCTCTAAATATCAAGCACTTTTACAGAGGACTTTTTCAACAGTACTGAAAGGAAACTGGCAGAGAGATAGATCTAGGTTGAACTCTCCAAAGTGGCACAAATCAGTGTCACCACAGACAGAAATGCTTCTTTCTGTACTTCAAGAAGTTTGTACTATGGATGTTACTGCTGCAGCTGTGCTGGGGAAGTTGCACCACTATGTGAATGATACTGAGGGGACAAAAGCCCTGCTAGTTTCTCTTGACTGCCAGCAAAGGTGCAGTTACATATTGTTGGAGAAAAGTTACATTTTGTGTGTTTGAAGGTTTCTTCTCGCACCTTCAAGCTCTAACTCTGAATTAATGAGGTAAAGCAGAATAGTAAAATGGTGCTAAAATATAGCACACCAAAAAGAAAAGCATTTAACGTCTATGCAGTTAGTTCCTGTGGCAGGCTGATACAAATTCATGTTTCTGCAAAATGTGGAAATAATACTTTGTGTGTTAAGCCCATCAGTGCCAAAAGTCACAGTCCTACAAGATGTATGGAACTGCTAGGGATCCAGCTGCTGCTAGAGTCCAACATGAGGGAATGTAACAATGGACACTTGACAGCCCATTCTGCAGTCCATAGCCTGGCTCTGTTCCTGTCCTGGCTAGGTACTGGCCTTCTCCTGTCTGCCTTTCATGCCCTGCTGTTTTCACAAACAGCATTTTCCAAAAGTAATTATTTAGTACACTAACCTCTCTGAACTCTATTTTCCTCCTTAATGTCTTCTCTCTTTCTCCACCTGCCTTCCCTTTATGCAGGTAAAACCACTTTGTCACAAACTTGTCCTTATGTAGAATTTATTATATTCTTTTTTTACCAAAATTAACTTCTGGTTATTCACTTGGGTCTGGCTTTTAAACAAATAAAATGCATTATTCTGTGTTTAGATGACTAAAATGATGTTTCAGATATTCATTAATAATAGGCAGATCCAGTCAGCCCAACAAGCTTCCTCTTGACAAGAAAAGCTTTCTCACTCTGGATGAATAATGCAAATTGGAGAAATAACACCGCTCCTGCATTTTATGCGTAGGCAGATAATGTTCTATCCTTCAGCAAATGCATCAGGCAAACAAGAACACTTTGGGGAAACAGCCATCTCCCAGAATAGAACATTGTGTTCTTGCCATAGGAGAAAGAACTTTCTAAGTTGCCATATTATCAGCTTTGTGTTTTAAGGTTTTGATGTGCAGCTCTTGTGGGTGCTTTGCCTTTGCAGTCATGACTGAATTGCTGCAGCAGGAGGTGTTGCAGATGAGGGGTCCTTCTTACTGTCAACAGAAAGGCTCCAAAGGGCTCATGCCATCCCCAGCAGGTAGGAAAACAGGTTGATGCTTGATACTGATGAAGCAGTAAGTTAAAGATGCAGGGAGGTTGAAGTGTCCTGCAAATACGTGCTCAGTACCAGCACTTATTTTACTTAGGGATACTAGTCTTCCCAGCAGGTCCTTAGACACTGAGACAATGTTCTCTGGAAGGAGCTAAGTTATGCCCCCTTTTGCTGAAGAGAGTTACTGTGATTTGCAGGCTTTGAATACACTGAGGTTCTCAGACTTCTCAACGGCTTAGGTGAGGAAGTCCCCACTGACTCAGCTGGTTCAACATATCTTATTCTCCAGAAAAACCTTGTTAGGCTGGTGTTAAAGCCATGGATTTTTATACATGCTGATAAAGAAATAACAGGAAAAAAATTGTCCACAAGTCTCATGCTATCAGCTCTCCAAGGCAAGGAGTTTCTGCCAAACATTCTGAGATACATATTCACATGATATAAAAGAGTATGTATTTATACAACATATATGAATGTAACATGCATGTTTTATACAACTGACACATTTTTAGACTGTTCTGAACCAGGCAGTAATTAAATTACTTAAGTTTGTTAAGTTACTGCTGTATAAAAAAAAAAACAAAACAAACCCAAGTGTCTCTGTCTGAACTATTTAGGAAATAAATGCAGACAAAGTAGGATGTTCTGACACTCCCATAGAAAATGTCATCATTTTTCTTTTCACTTTCTTCATCTTAAACATGTGGGTAGTGAAGACAGCTGATTAATGTCTGTGAGTTCACAAATAAACTGGGTCTCTGGAAAAGATCTAAATAGAAGGCAAGAAAGAAGCATGGACAGAGACAAACAAACAGAAAACTGGAGAAGGAAATAGAAGAGTTAGTTATACCAGTGTCTTTGACAGATCCATGTTGAATGTGTGGAAGATCAAATGCAACCTGAGATGGGAATGAACACAATATTGAAAATTCAAATGTAGTGTCAACAAACCTCAATGCATTGGAAAGTAATTTCAAAGCTAGGATTTATCTGTGAGATGGCATAATACGCATGTGACATATGTGGCATAAACAAAATAGAAATAATTCAGTAATTTGGAACAGCTTTCCCACAGGAGTATAATGAGACATGTACCTGTGCAGAAAATACTGGAGTTATTAATGTCACCAGGAAATCTGCAACCTGGATTGTGGTTCAGTCATGTCCTGTGAATTTTGTGTACATGTTCATGAAGGTACTGTGTCCCTTCATCCTCCAGGGCAGCTGCTCCTGGCCATCTGCTCAGTGCCCTGGTCTATGCTGTGTCTGTGCACCTAGCCATCTTATTGCATCTCTACCAGCATGATCTGGTGACCTACTGGAGTTGTGTCTGGGGTCTTGGACTGGACTGCAGCATTGACTAGTGATGATTTTCTGGCTTGCTGCCTGGACTGAAAATTTGTTAAAAATTTAATGAGAATTTAAATGAGAATCTTGAAAAGGAAGATGCCCTAGAAGTTCTGGCTGCAGTTTATGGTTTTTGAAATCCAAGTGTCAGGATGAGGCAGAAGAGGCTGTGAACATACCAGGTAAAGTTCTAGTTTTCTTACTTCATCTAGCAGGAAGGTAAAACTGACCTTCTGTTGCCACAATCTGATTATTTTCTCTGTGCTATTGAAAAATATGTTTTTCATCCTGACTCTAGACACAACAAAATACCTGGCTAGTACATAAAAGCTCCCTGAGTAGCATGCTTTTTCCTAAAACACATAAAGAAGATATAAACAGGTACTGCCAGCTGCTAGTCTTATTTATTCTTTCCACTTCAATGCTTAGCAGCTCAACCAAATAATCTCTGCTCATACATAACAAGTCAGTGATATGCTGGGCACAGAAATCAGGTTTCTCTGTGCCCAGCATATCACTGTGCAGTGTGCACCGGAGCACATAGAATCATAGAATGGGTAGGGTTGGAAAGGACCTTAAGATCATCTAGTTCCTACCCCCTGCCATGGGCAGGGACACCTTACACTAGACCATGTCGCCCAAGGCTCTGTCCAACCTGGCTTTGAACGCTGCCAGTCCCTGCTAAACCTAGAAACTAGTTTGAGTCTGTCAATGTAAGTGCTGCAGTGTTCTAGCTTCTATTTTGTTAATTAACTATTGATTAATGTTGCTTTTTAAATCTAATTTCCTGTAGTTAAGTCATCAGCAGGTCAGTTTACGCCATCTTTAGGGTGAAATTAATTAATCTCTCAGTGTGTGACAGGGATTTCTTTTACATGAAGAAATTAAGTCATTTGAAATTAATAATCTGCCAAAGGGATATTTGGAAGAGGTAAGAAAGTTCTGTGGCCCTGCTTGTATTTCAACAACAAAACAACTGCTCTCCCTGTCACAGCTCACATATTTTCTTTTTATGGCAGCTTTTAAATACTATGAAATTTGCAGTGGTAGCATTTATAGAGACCTGTCCAGGAATGTAATAGCAAGAAGCAGTGAGACAGTTTTTGAGAACACTGGAAAATAAGAAGTTCTTTCTAATAGTAGAACACATGCTCAGTTTCTGTTGAAACACAATGATAACATAATTACAATTCGTTTGAAACCTTCCTTGTCATATATGGTAGAAACACATGAGAGTTATGGTATACTACTATAATAGAAATCATGAAGAGAAAAAAAATTGAAGGAGTGAGAGAAATCCAGTCTGAGAACTGGGACTTACTTTGCATTCTGGGCAGAAACACAGATTTCATCATATGTCTGTCAAAACTGCCAAAAGAAGGAGCTGAATAAAGTAACTCAAAAAACATACATGGAAAGACTCTCTAAAAATGAAATTTTCAAACCTTGGGAAATATTACTCTAAAAAATTCTGGTTTTGAGATGAACAGAGTTCTGAGATAGCCAAGGTGTTAGTGGAGAATTTTTTATATCTGCACGTTAATTCTGAATTCTATAATACCCACACAGTTAAGTCATGCTAAAAGTGGCTACATAATTTGTGTCTGCATAATTTTAATAGATTCCTAAAACTACAGAATACCACTGAGCACAGGAAACCAAACTATATTGCTGTTACTTATCCTGAGTAGTAGTTACGCCTTGAGTATTCCCTTGAAAACATTAGGAGCACTTGCTGAGTAAACTGCTACTTGTTCTGAGTAACATGTAAGTAAAAGGAGTGAACAGTTTGACTAGTCAATCCCAAACCTTGCAACACGCGTGCCATAGTGCAAGAGTTGTTATAGCTTGACAGCTTTTTTGGCAACTGTTCAACAGCTTGCAGGGGCCTAACATCTACAGTGGTCAGTGCTTGCCAGAAGTTGCAAATCAAGGGAACACACCACTCAGTAGAACTTTGAGGTTAGAAAGGTCCCATGTTTCGTAAGAGGCAAAATGAACAGTTGTTCACTCTTGGTTTTAATCTTTGCCTTGATAGGTATTTGTGCTTACTGAGGGACACCTGTACCAAACCAGGTGCCATAGAGAAGCAACCTTCACTGAGTTCTTATTAGAATTTAATATAAAGTGATCTGTAATCAGGGCTAACTCAAAGCAGATTGCGCTCATCATAGTCCAGCTATAGGCTTATAAAGGGGAATGCTGATATAAGAGTCAGAGAACTACAGCATGCTTACCAAAGCAGCTGGCTTTCTGCACACTTGAATTAATGACTCAAAAAGCCAGTTGCTCATAGCCTGAATGATAAGTCAATTATCTGGTACTTCAGTGACAGGAATGCTAGCATGGTTACAACTAGCAGCAAGTTACTCAAAACCACAAATAGTCTCAGTTTTATTCTATCACTAGCACAAACTAATTTTGGCCATGCTTGCCTTGTCTAAATTTGCCTTAATTCCTTACTCACCCAGGCTAAATTGAATTCCCTGTGCCTGATTTTTCCTGATATCTAGCTGTACTTATACTTAGGATCTCTGAGGTTCTGAGGCTCACAGAAAATTCACTGTGTGGCTGAGACCTGGAGATTTATGTATCAGGCAAAAGAAGCTAGACCAGCAGGTCGAAGGAAGTGACCCTGCCCCTTTACTCTGCTCTTGTGAGATCCCACTGGGAGTACTGTGTACAGTTCTGGTGCCCTCAACATAAGGACATGGAACTGTTGGAACAAGTCCAGAGAAGGGCCACGAGGATGATCAGGGGACTGGAGCACCTCCCGTACGAAGACAGGCTGAAAAAGTTGGGGCTGTTCAGCCTGGAGAAGAGAAGGCTGCGTGGAGACCTCATAGCAGCTTTCCAGTATCTGAAGGGGGCCTATAGGGATGCTGGAGGTGGACTATTCATCAGGGACTGTAGGAATAGGACAAGGGGTAATGGGTTTAAACAGAGGAAGGTCAGGTGAGATATAAGGAAGAAGTTCTTTACTCTGAAGGTGGTGAGGCACTGGAACAGGTTGCCCAAAGAAGTAAATCCTCCATCCCTGGCGGTGTTCAGGGCTGGATTGGACAGAGCCTTAGGTGACATGGTTTAGTATGAGGAGTCCCTGCCCATGGCATAGGTGTTGGAGCTAGGTATCTTAAGGTCCTTCCCAACCCTAACTGTTCTATGATTCTATGAATTAGACTAACCCTTGACCTGAGCTTTACGAGGCAGCAGATGACATCTGCACTTCCATCTTATGCAGTTTGATGCATAAGAAGTTTTGGTGTCATGGTTTAAACCCAGTCAGGTAACTTGTTCACTCACTCCCCGCCTTCTTTCCTTCCCCCTACTCCCGGAGGGACAGAGAGGAGAATCGAAAAGAATGCAACTCCCACGGGTTGAGATAAGAACAGTTTAGTAACTAAGGTATAACACAAATCACTACTGCTACCACCAGTAATAATAATGATAAAGGAAATAACAAGGGAAGAGAATACAACACCTCACCACCAGCCAACCGATAACTCACCCCCCAGCCCGACCAAGCTCTGACCCATACCTCCTCCAACCCTGCAGTCCCCCAGCCCTTCCCGCTAACTCCTATGGGCATGACGTGCTGTCATATGGAATACCTCCTTGGTCAGTTTGGGTCAGGTGTCCTGTCTCTGCTTCCTCCTGGCTTCCCCTCCTCCCTGGCAGAGCATGAGGCTCACAAAGTCCTTGGCCAAACCAAAACATCCTTGTTATCAGCTCTGTTCCCGAGCCGAAAGTCAAAAACACTGCACTGCACCGGCTACCAAGAAGGAGAAAAATGACTGCTACTGCTGAACCCAGGACAAACATGGGTGAGCCTCTCACAGCAAGCATGCCATAAACTTGCCATGTGCTGCATTATTTCAGATTGTGAGTAAAAAAATGCACCTTACTAAGTAACTGAAGGGTAGTATGTGTGATGGATTGTATGTGGAAAAGTAAGAACTTTCTCTCTTAATATCTGCAGCCAGGTATGATGTTAGTGGCAAAATGAAGAAGGAGGAATGTGTCAAGATCTTAGGAACAGTGATGATAACCTTTGATTTTGCCTAATAACAGTAGAGAGGTGATGTGAGAGAGATATCACATTAGAGACAGTTTGTGGGACAATTTCCTCCAATATTCCTTCTTCTTTCTTCTGAAAATGTAGGCACTAGTGTTGTCTGTGAAAATTCATTTCTTTCTGAGCAAGTCTGGCATTCTTAGCTTTCCAAGCACTCGCACAAATCACAAAAACATAAACTGAAGCTGTCTTAAGCATCTTGCGAAGTGCGCTTTTTTCTCAAAGGGAGAACCCATGAAAAGAGATGATGAAAACACAAACTGTATAAACTCTGATTTGCAGATAACATCTTAAACCAGGCTAATTCAATGATTTCACTGATGAAGATACCTTCATTTAAGCTTAAGAATATTTTTCAGACTGTCATGGATACTAACTCTCGTGAAAAATTATAGTAATTTTTCAGTGCATCTGAAAACCAAGACTATTAGTTTGTCAAGTTACTGAGTTGCACATCTGAATTTTGTTTTTAGACACTCTGGTTTTGAAAGTGTTGAACATCTCCTTTACAGTGCTTTTCACCAATTACTCAAGATTTTGAGGATGCTACATGAGAACAATTAGGGATTTACCACCTTTATGTCAATTTAGACTCAGAGTGTGTAACGTCTGGGCACTGAAGAATTTGTCTTCTTGTCTTATTTTCCCCACAGTTATTTGGATCTTTTTTACAGAGCCTTCTGTTTAATCACATTGCCTTGGTTAGCTCTCCAAGCCTCTTGTTAAGGGGCAATAAGCACTTTAAAAGATAACTCCTTTTCATTGTAATTCAGAGAATTAAATGCCTGAGTCACACAAATTTGGTCAGGGTTTCAGTTTTGCCTTTATCATTACACTTACTAAGCACAATGGGAGAAACACTATTGATACAAAAGTTGTGTTTTGCTAAATATTTCACGGGACACGATGTTTCTGCTTTCCATTGTTGCTCTAAGTGATAGATTACTCTGTAAATCATCTTGTTGGTTCCACCGAACATTTTGTAAAACAAAAGAGCAAAAGTTAGACTCAAAGATCTTGGGTAACTTGTGCCACAAGTCTACTGAAATCCATCACCTGAGGCAAGAGCTTGGATAGCTGGCTCAGCGTGGTCGCTCACCATACAATGGTTCAAATTTTCTTTGACAAATCATGCAAGCATAGAAAAGGCCAGGTTGGAAGAGATGTCAAAAGTTCATCTGGTCCAAATTTTCATTGTTCCAGAGCAATCTTGCATGTTAGAGCAGTCTTTCAAGTATTCATAATTTGACATGAGGTTAAATGCAGGTTGTATACCGCAGCTTATCTGCAAAGCATCCAGGAAAGTGTTATGTTCAGTTCTTGAAAATGTACTTGCATTTATGAAAATTATGTGATGGGTTTATCTGTTGTTATTATTATTATGTCAAAGCCAAGAAATTTTGACTAGTTTGGGATCCCACGGAGATTATCTGTATTCTGCAGATGTGCAGCAAGCTCTGTCAAGAGTTTAGGATTTACATTGTTATCTAAACAGAAAACAAAGAGTAAAAGGAAAACACAAAGACTTTCAAGACGCCTTGTAGCAGGGCTGGGATAGAAAGCCAGTTCTTCCAAAATCTTTTTATGAGCCTGTCTACCATGCCACATTTTCATATCAAGATAAGCAGATTAAGTTAAAATCTTGCCACATGAAGCTGATTCTACATGTAAATTATATGCATGTGCATCTGTGTATGTACATATGTGTAAGAGTGCAGATGAATACCTATGTATTTCTAATATAAACTTTTTGAAGTTTTCTTGGGTAGGTGAGATTCCTTGCCTACGAGCTTTGACTTTCTCATGAAACAGAAATACATTGTCTATCTCCTTTCAGGATAAATTGTTCTATGTTTTTAACCCTTTCTATTTCTTGTTTATTTTCTGCTCCAATAATTTTACTTGTCTTTCTGTTGTCTGAAAAATAGTGAAGGAAAAAAACACTGGAAACAGTAGCACTTCAAGAGGAAGCTTGGTGCCACCTTATAGCCACCTGACCTTTGTTTTACCTTAGTCTATTTTTTTTAAAACAATGTTACAGAGGCTTAAGCCACTATATTGCAATTGTTTATTCACACGGAGCTTGTATTGCTGCCCTTGTGGAGATACATAACCCTGTGAATACATAAAGTACTATCATAGTACTTTTGAAAATGTTAAAGGAATTAGGTATCTGTTTGCTTGTTTGGACAATACATACCTAAAAAATCTGATAATGAGATATTGATATGTAATTTCTGTAATACAGAAAACATATTTGGTATAAAATAGATGTTTGGTGTAATTATAAAAAATATTGAGAATGTATATATGTAATTATTTGCACTAGGGGAACAATGCCTAGTGTTTTAAAAACTTTAATTGGTACAATTAAGATAGAAACTTTTCCCTTTACATCTGACACAAGAACTTATGAAATCCTCAATTCTGGTTGTTCCAGCCATCACTGGAGATCTGCTTGGTAGGCGATGACAGGGAAACTCAACCTTTTTTTTTTTTTTTTTTTTCTTTAGTGCAGGTGGATTTATAGTGTTGGAGCCAAATTAAACATTGTTTTACTGAATTGATATACTGAAGGCACCAAAAATGTGTCTTATTAGAAAAGGGTAACAACATTCTTGATCCCTTCCTAGTTGTTCTCTCTCACTTCAATTTCTTTCCCTGCCTCTCACCCTTCCCCTGAGCTTGAGCAAAGGTGAATTTGTATGTACCACTTTTGAAGGGCCCACACAGATACTAATGAGCTGAAAGTGCACTCACTTAGCAACGGAGGATGTGCATTCTACCATTCATTACCATGTTTTTTTTCAGTATTTATGTGACTTTCAAGGACTAATATAACCCCTATATCACCAAGAACTGTCTAACAGTATTTGTCCTAGTAGCATGTCCCAGAGGTGAGACCAAAAGCCTGCATTTTTAGAAGTGTTACTCTGCTCTGTAGAAATTTGACAACTTTTTCCCTTTTCCAAAGGGATACTGACAAGCAGGATTCTGGCAGATGTGGTCCACTGCCATAAGCTCCAGAAAAATCTCAGGTCCTTCTGTCCTTAGCTGCCCAGCTGTGTCCCTGTGCCATCCTCGGTGCCAGCTGTGGGACACAGGTTTGTGCCAGTCACCGTCAGGTATGCCAGCTTCAGCTGCTGTCGATGGTGACATTTACAAGGCTGTGGTAGAGCTGGTCCAGGTCTTTGCCAAAACATGTAGGAGCAGATGCCAAACTACCTCTGAGCAGACTCATGCTGTAAGAAGCTCTGGTAGCCTGCACACACACATGCGCATGTGCACATACTCGCTTACACACAGTGGCATTTTTTTTCATGAATTATTGCTGCTGCTGAGGCTCTCCACTGACTCAGCTTTGAAGTACCAGTGCTCGGTTGAAAGCACTTAACAGAAAAGTAGCCGGCACCTGCCAAGATTGCTAACAGCAGTTTATATGTAATTGGCAACTTGAGGTCATCTACAAACCAAGCTTGTCTTTTGTTCCAAGAGAACTTTGATAAATTTTGCAAGCAATCACCATAAACTACAACTGCCAGCACAAAACAGCAGTGACCATAAACCCCTGTAGTGCCCCGTGCTGCTGAGCCACTCAGTTTTGCATTTTTTGGAAACATTTGCCATCTGTTTGAAGACGAGGATTCCCTACAGCAACTATTTTCTTTTTTTCTTCATTTTGATGATAGGCTTTCTAATGGCAAACTACTGTCATGCAGGAGCTGTGAGAAAAAGCAGGTTTGACATTTCACCATATTCTGAAGCTGACAAGGACCTGCAAGACTTTTTGAAACAGTAGCAAATGGCCATAAATGATTACACAGGACACAAAAACTGAAACTTCAGGTGTAAAAGCTGAATTTGAGTATCATGGCCACATAAACATGTGCTCCAAAACTCTGGATTTTTCCCCTTGAAAAATCTGAAATCTGGACAGAAAATGGCTGGAAATGCGAACAGAATTACAATTGTACTGAAACTCCTCTTGCTATTTGTATTTAACGAGTGTGACTTATGCCAGTATGATTGCTTCTGCTTTTGGTATGCTGCTGCTTTCTGCTACAGAGAGCTCTGCTCTGCAGAGATCAGCAGCCATTTTCAGGGGGATGTTACAGTCTGCAGATACATATTCAGGTCTATCTCCAGCTGAAATGGATTTAGATACCATTGTTATGTCTTGTGATTAAGAAGGAAAGTTAGTGTCTCTTATGCTGTCATTCTCCTTTCACATTCAGGAAACACCACCTGGAAATTTTAACCAGACTAATCATTTAAGAATTTTATACTAAAATTTTCAGCAGAAAAAGTCAGCAATTCTTCACATATAATTCTTAATGAAAAAAATCCCAGCTTTTTTTTCTGATTCACAATTAAAAATTCATTTTACTGCAAAGGGATTCCTTGGTGGTAAAACGTTGTGGGTAGTGTTTGATTTTTAGTTTCAATTAAAAACAGCTTTATCAGAAGTATTTTTTTTCTGGAATAGGCTGTATCTACTAATGACATAAGGTATGAACATTAAAAGCTCAAATGAAATCCAGAATGTCAATCTTGATGCACTTAAGAATCACTAGCTTTTAAATAAATAAGTACTACATATCTAGAGCAAAAGCTCTTGTCTTCAGGAGCTATAGTGACAGGCTACAAAGCTTTCCTTCCTAGGTCTGAGAAATACAGGTTGAGTTTTGTTGCTGTTGTTGCAAACAGTGGTAATAAAGAGAATTTGTTTTGAAAAGCTTTTAAAGACAGAGTGTTTAACAACACTCCCACTTGCCCAGAAGATTGCTTTGTTAACTGTAAAAGCTGAAGCAGCTGAAGAATCAAAAATGTACTGAGTGCTTAGACTTCATATTACATACTTCTTAGTACAAAACAGTTACTTCTTAGTACAAAATTTCTTAGTATATCACAGCTGTGCCTTGTAGATCTCTAATCAAGAATGAGCTGGACTAGGGATGAAACACTTCTAAAGAGATACAGAACACCAACAAATTAAAGGGTTAAATCTGGTGCTATGTCTCAACTGTAATGCAACTGTCAGTCAAATGAGATGATAGTAATAATGCACTTTGCTTTTATATATTATAGCTCCTTCCCACCCAGTCTCTAAAAAAACCTTTCTAATATTAAGGCCTTAATATTGCCAGCTGTTTCATGTATTTTGTTAGTAATATAATCTCTTAGTAATATAATATAATAGTAATAAATATGCCTGGGGACTATGCTGATTTTCTAGCTAACTGTTCACTATCTCAGATGACTTGCTGTCGGCACATTTTCTTTTCTCAGGTTGGTGTGGACTAGAAATACATATACTAGTGACTTCAATGAAAATTCTACTGTGAATAAAGTCTTCAGGGGATACACAGGTCAGTGAACAGGTTGCCCAGGGAGGCTGCAGAGTCCCCATCTTTGGAGGTGCTCAAAAGCCAATTCTGCATGGCCCCAAGCAGCCTGCTCTCAGCAGTCCTGTTTTGAATGGAAGGCCCTTCCTAAGCTCAACCATTCTGTGAATCAGCAGAGGTGTGCTGGCTTTCAGAGCTCTGAAGGGAATCACATGACTTGGGAAATAAATGCCAGTATCTTGGTTGTCAGTCACTGCACTGAGTAAACTTGCGAAGGCTCCTACAGCCTACAAGCCTAGATCTTATGTAATGGGGCCCCATTTTCAAAATAGCTCGACATATGATTGTTGCCATTCAGGAAATCAGATCAGAAAGCTGCTTGATATTTTGACAAATCCATTCCATGTCAACAGCCTGTCTTAACTTTAATGGCCTTATGTTTCTTATCAAGAACTTAAGAAGATGGCATTTTTCTTTGCAACTATGATTACATATCACTATGTAAATACATATGTAACTATAAATAACATTGCCCACATTTGCTGTAATATAATAGGCTCTGCTGTCACAACCTACCCTTCTGTCACATCTGACACAGCCTTTAATACGTGACTCCTGTGGCACTGTACCACACAGGGTTCCTCTTAAATGAAACTAGTAAGTCTAACTAAGCAGACAGCCCGCATTAGCTGTAGAGTGAAAAAGAACAATGAGATACTTGTGTTTGTGTTGACTGCTTAGTTAAATGGTTACATGTGAGTTAATATTTAATCACGCTGTTTCCCAATTACACTACTTCATAGCAGAGTTGTCTCCGCCTGTCTTAACAAATACAACGATGTAATGGGGTAATGTATCTGTCTGGGATACAAAAGCCATTGTATTATAATAGTTCGACTAAAATGATTTCTTTTGCTTTTTTAAAGTAGGCTCGTGCAGAGCTAGTTTGAAATGAATAGTGCTTCACACACTGAATCAGATATTGTACTACATGGACAATAAGACATGGAAATAATAAAAAAAAGTCCTTATTTTAGTAATGAAAAATAAACACTCAGGTCTTGAACAGCTACTGCAACTACTCCTGCGGAACAACTGGTGTGTATCACAGCTACAGAGTTCTCCAATTGCAAAGCATGAGCATTTCACAAGGCACGTCTTGTGCTTCTAGTCTAAGGAAATTGTCAGGAAATCAACGAATTAACAGTTTAGATTTTGTGTAAATTGAAATTCTGGTGAAGGTATCTTTGTATCAGCAGCAGGGTTTTTTTTTTTTTTGGGTTTTTTTTTGTTTTTTTTTTTTTAGCTATGAAAACTGTGAAATAAGAGCAGAGAATCCGTCATGCTCCTAACATAATAAACAGCCCATTAAAACTCAGAACCAACAGGCTATCCTTGGGCCATAGTCAAGCTAGATCTTAACAACCCAAATTAAAATATAGATGGTGTTGAAAGGTACCCTGCAAAGGGAGCCTTATCTGCTACCTACCAGAGGCTGTGGTGACTCTAAGTCTGAAAGTGAATGTATTTTGAGCTCTGCCAAGACTTTGCAGAAATTTAAATGGAATAGCTGAATATATTTGTCAGTCTCAGAACACTCAAGCACTTGGATGATCACTATGTTGTGTGAATTTCCTAACTGGTATGTGGAATTTGGCTGCCATCACAGAAAAGTGGTTTAAGAGCTGTTTTCTGGATTTATTCCAGTTATCGTCAAGGCTGTTGCTGCTGTAAATCATTTGAGTGTTATGAAAGAATCGCTGCTAGGCTGACTATACTAGCAGGCAAAATGAAGCACTTTACTCATGAAAGCCCTTCCAAGTTGAAGAACAGAAGCAGTGATACGGACTGCTGGAAGAGCCCTGACAAAGCTGCTGCTGGGTCATCTTCTTGTTCCCATGAAACAGGTCCTTCAACAGCTCTGTTCTTCTGCCTTGCTAATCTCCATAAAAATCCCATATTTCCAGTATTTAGACAATGTAAATGGGTGAAATGTGAATGTCAGCAGGATTTTTGTCATTGCTCTTCACCAATACCCCAATGGTAACTGTGTTAAGTTCAGCTTGAGCTGCAGGGTTAGATAAATATGGCACAGAAGCAGCAGCACAATCTAGCACCCAAATACTTGTGTCTTGGGGCCTTACCCATGTTAGACAGGGTTACCTGTGTCATGCACAACACGTTAGACAACGGATCCCAATAGTAATAACACAATACCATAGACCTTTGAATTAGAGAAATAGACTGGAATGTAACCAAGCCACCAGCTTCAAAGACGCAGCTCTTCTAACGATGTCTGCAGGTGGCTGGGATGTTAAGTCTTGCGTCTCGCCTCACAGATCGCATCACCTGCCTTATCCACTGTAAATGCTTCCAGCTCAGCAAAACACTATCGTGAAGAACCCTGTGTATCTCCTGTTGGTCACCTTCACCATGCACAGCTGCAGCATAGCTCCCTCCTTGTGCGTCTTGAAGGATCAGTCCGGCAACTTTCTAAGGAAGGCAAGAAGAAGTATGTTTCCTTGCAGATTAGTATTTATTGGGCTAGCCGACTCTATATATTTTGTTAATGGACTTCATATCCTAAAAGAGAATTCACAATGAAATTGAATTTTTTGGAAATTTAGGGGTGGAAGTGCTTTTTCAGCAGAGTGTTACTGGCAAAAAAAATCACTTGCACAAACCACTTGCCTAATATATAAACCTACAGTCTAAAAATAAAAAAAATCACAGAAATCACAAAACCAGGTAGAACTCAAAACTGCCATAAGTTGTGCTTTACAATTGTCTGTTAAGGGTCATTCCCTTAGCCAGATTTTCTGCAATATCACAATACAGTGGCAATGACTTCCACTTGGAAACCAGTTTCTAAATTCAGTGCAATTATTCTTTAAAGAAATTAATCAGTACTTTCTAGTCAAATGTTTTGCTGGTTTGCACCCATTATTTTTCACAAGATTACCATCTTCCTCCAAAAAATTGCATGTGCATATTTTCACTGCACATTTAAAAAGAAAACTAAGTTTTCCTTCCTCTAATTGAAATGGTTTTTTGCTTTTCAGTGTTTAAAGAAAACTCACATTTTTAGCATTTCCTCCCCCCATAATAATAAATTAATAATTTGTAAATAGTAGGAGTTAATAAAGGAATGTCTATAGAGTGATCAAATGGATCTTATGTAATGTCAGCCATATTCCTATGTGAGTGGTATTCAAATGAAACAGTTATTTGTCTCACATGTATTTGTGTGAATTCAATATTTCTTAAAAGAGCTATATGATTAAGCTCCCTTCTGTTAGGTTTGATTAGGTTATGAACAATCATTCTTCAGAGGTACTCATGCTATATGAAATTCAGAAGATATAACCAATCAGTGCCTCAAGGCACTGAAATGAATACAAGAAGCTGGTGCTCTTATTTCTATCTATCTCATTCACTTATCATATAACCCTAATGTGGTGGTGTTATTCTAAAAGCTAACAAAGTTTAGTTTCAAATAATATTTCATAATCATAGAATCACAGAATCATAGAATGATTTGAGTTGGAAGGGACATTAAAGACCATTTTGTTCCCAGCTCCCTGCCACAGGCAGGATACCTTCCACTAGACCAGGTTGCTCAAAGCCCCATCCAATCTTGTACCTGCTGGTCACACTCCTTTTGCTGCAGCCCAGGACATGGTTGGCTTTCTTGGCTGCAAGAGCACATTGCTGGATCATGCTCAGCTTTCCATCAACCAACATCCAAATACCTTGGACAAATGCTTCAAACATATAATTAGAGATTCATAGTGAGTATAATTATAAAAAAGCCGTTACAATTACCAGAACAACAGAATTTTTATTTCAAAAGAGCACTCTAGGAGAATGCAGTCATTATTCTTGCTCATCCTGAACTTTGTTCTTAGCTAGGATCAAATATTTGATCTGAACATGCACTGAAATTAAGAAGTTATTACCAACTAAGTAAACATAGACTGTGTTTATATTATTATGTATATTATTTTATACATACATAATAATATATTACTAATAAATTAGAAACAATACTAAATAAATGACTAAACAGATAAATAACATTAAAATATTTTATTATCAATAATTTTTAATAGATTTCATTTTTCTATTTTTATTTGCATGTATATATAAATGATATATTTTAATAACATTAATGTATTGAGATACAAATATGTATAATACATAAAATTAAATATAGCATCTAATATCTAATATATTAGTATATAATATCTTAATGTTATGCTTATTTTTATATTATTTCTATAATATTTATTTTATTTATTTAATAACAGGTATTTATTAATATTATTAATGAGAATGCTTCAGTAACATGAGACTGGAGTTCAGTCTAGGTCATAATTTTGAAAACAAAAATGTGTGTGCTCTACAATCTTTTCTTTGCTGGCAGCGGGTGAAAAACATGCTCAAAGAGAGGACTAGTGCCTGCTGCACTGTTTCCATGAAGCAGCTCAGCACACAAACCAGCTGCTCCTTTCTAGAGAAAATGCAGAGATGATAAGAAGGGAGTGGAACGCACCCCTGCATTGATTCAATTTTACCCTGCTTTCCATACAGTTCAGAGGTCTGAGATGAAGTGTTATGTTCTACAGCACTGTCCTTTGCAGAAACGGAGGTTTATCATGAAAGGGCTAATTTTACTGGTAGTCCTATTAGTTTTCTTGGGTAAAGCGTAATTTCTCAGCCTCTCTTTAGCATATTAGTACAAATATGTTAAAAGTGAACAACATGAAAAATAAGACTTTTGAGAAAGAGCATGCAGCTTAATTTTTCTCTGTGTCAGAATGCGAGTAGCATGGATTTGTCTTTCCTGTTCAACATTAAAATATTGTAAGAGAATATAACAAGCAAATAATTGAAAAATTGTATCCATGAAGTTAAAAGACCAGTGTATGAACGTTAGCTAGATCTTTCTGTGCACAATGTCATGTTCTCTTTCCCCATAAAAAATGGTTACTCTAAAAGCATAACATTTTCTAGCAATTGATCCCATTCCTTGACATTGGGAAAACCCCCACTATTTTGGAAAATATAAGATACAATAATGCTCTATTCTTAGAAATCTGATTATATGCTTCAAGAAGCTTCAAAAAATCTAGCAGTGATGTGTAGTCAACAAAAGTGTAGAACAGATCTTGTGTTACCAGGACAAGTTAAAGCAATTCTTTTCCTTCCACTTCACTGAAGAAAAAATGAAAAAAGAAAGAAAGGCAAAAAAAAAAAAAAAAAAAAAAAGCAATTCCCCAAATTTTCTAGAAACTGCAATACAGTCATTGGAATGCTGAGCAAACATGAGCACAGCTGTTAGACATCTGCTGTGCAAGAGAAAAAAAATCATCTGTGTATTTGTTTACATAGTCTCTGCTCTGACATTTGGCCAGGACACACAGCTCCAAGCTGAAGTGTAATGCAAAAGTCATATACTGCATGTATGCTGAGTACGAGAGGGCTTCTGCACAGCTGGCATCCCTGTGCCACACGTATAGACAGGAAGAGAGCTGAACTCCAGTTAACTTACTGTCATCTTAGCATGTTAACTCTCAGTTCAACATCCAACAGGCTGAAACCTTCTACTCTCCAGTGTGCTGCTGGCAAACGAATGATGCAGGAGATTGGAGGAAGCCCGGCTCGGGATGAAGTCCCAGTAAAACTGGGTGCAAAAGGGATGTGGGGCCCTGAGAAAGGAACTGGGGACCTGGAAAAGCCCCTGAGTTGCACCTTGGCTACTGGTAGAGGACCTGGCAGTATGTGCGGGGGGACTGTGCATCCTGCTGCCTGCAGCAGGGAGGCAGCTCACAAGGGTTACATGGAGACTTTGGTGTTTTGTGCTGATGTACAAACCTGCCTTGGGCTGAAGTTCTCGATCAGAGTGCTGTCCTTTACAAAGTGACCTCCAGTGCTCTGAAACTTAACCTTTGAATGATTTCACTATTTATTTCTAGTGGTTCTTCAGAGATACCTTCACTTTGAAGTGATATAAAATGGAATATTACGGTTCCACTGCATGCAGTTTCAGGATCCCTAAAAATTTCCAAGGAGGTGTTGAAAGAATATAAGCCTATTGAGTGAGGAGCTGCCATTCTTCACTCCTTTTCTCAGAAACTGTAGAAATAGCCCACAGGTCCCCATGGTCTACACATAGTTTATTGAAAATGTTGCTAGGAAAAAATGAACCACACCTATTTCTGCAAATGATTATATCTACTTATTCATTTTAGTTTGTGTTTGTAGGCCAGAAAACACATGAAAACAAACCTAACTATATCTAGGTCTATCAAGTTGACACGAGCATCATGGTTCAGTTATTTAATTCCTGGACACAGTTCAGAAAGAGGTAAAATCAAACATCCACTTGGTAGAATTTGTTTGCTTTTCTGTTCATCCCTTCGTTGATTTTCCATCAAGATGGTATTTGTTTTCTTTTGGAGTTAATAGAAAGTACGACATGTTACCCATAAAATAGCCTTACATGTTGCTGTTTTCATGAGCCAGATTATACCTACAAATATTTGTAATTAGTTTGGACCTATAGGTAGTTTGTGTATGCACAGCACCTCTCACTTTTTGAATAATTTGATTGTAGAAATAACAATGGAAAAAATCTTAACAAATATGCTCCACTTCTATTTTTCTTCAGATTTGTTTCTGATCCTGTAAGCTTTGATCTAAGTGTAGATCAAAGCAAAACCTGAAATGAAATGATAATAACATAATATATCTACTGGTCACACTTGTTAATCAGAATGTGTAGAAATACGTTTACATATACGTGCTTTTGCTCATTCCAAGCCTCTTTGAGCTCATTTAGAATTACTCTGGAGACTTTGCTGTGTAGTACATCAAATTCTGGTCTAAATGACATCATGCTGGCCAGACAGTGGCAGTGATTAATCTATAAATCATCATTAATTAAAAAAAAATATATTGTAGCTGAGATGCCAAGTATATTAAACCCTTGAAGAGGAATGATCTGGAAACTTGTGTGGAATGTGATGATTTCACTCTGGCCATGGGTCAGAGTCTGCACACAGTTGAGATGTAGAAAGTTGTTTATAATGCTATGACAAAACAGTAACCTGACTGGGGGCCAATTTCAGAGTTGGTGTGAAGGAGTGAAGAACTGATTTAAAAGGATAGAGTTGCACAAGGAGGAGTCTCTCTTCAGAGGTGCAGAAAAGTCTTTGATAAATACACTCCAGTTAACAAGGCTATGTTCATTCAGAGACAGGTTTTGCTCATCTCACTCTTTTTGAGTAACATCCATTTAGGACACTGGCATCTCACTGTGTTTGATGGATAAAGTAGGAGAGCTGTGCTGGTATCAGCCCTACAGATGGACTACCACTCCAGTTGTTTGGGCCTGGGGAAAGACACACTTGGCAGCACAGCACAGCACAGCACAGGAAGAGACACCCATAAGTTAAGAGGTCTACTTAAGTCTCCAATTAAAAAAGCTGACAGAACATAAATAAGCATGGTAGATCTCAAGACAATCAATTTGCAGTCTTTGTAAATAAAAAGGAGTC